TGTGTCTAGGGTTTTATCCCATATATTCATTCCTGATCCTGGTTTTGTACTTTTTGAATGGTGACTTCAAGTGATCTGCTGGCAGGATACTACGCCGAACAGTTCCATCTCCAAAATCTGTCTCCCTGGGTCAGAGTTTGTTTGGGTTTTTTGTTTTTATTTAATTTGTGTTTGTTTTATTTTGTTTTCCCCTCAATGCTTTTTGATAACAAAATTTTATGATTCCTGATAATTTGGTGAAATCTCTTTCCCAAATTCGCTCATATTTTGGATGTTGAGATAGGAAGCATCACTCCATCTCTATTACACTGGTCGTTCAGATCCTCCTCTTTCAATTTGGACTGTTGCTTGTGTCTTCCTGTTTCTACTTCTAGTTTATGGTCACTGATTCGGTATTTGGTGAGAGTTTGCCTGAGCTTTGCACATTTCACTGTAGTGAGGTAGTCTGCTACTGTGATAGAGTGAGAAGTCTAGCCTGTTGTTGTCTATATATCTGTTCTTCACAGTGTTTTGTTATTGATGGTTTGAGTATTGTTCTAGCAGCTTGACCATTTTGGGTGGGGTTGTTTCTTTCATAGAGAGAGAATGATGCAGCCTAGAGAGTGGAAGTATATAGATCATACTTTCATTTAGGTTTAATGTTTTAGCCTCTGAATCTTTGCAGTGGAGGGAGTGTTCGCTGCTTTGGTTGGGATGGCATCAGAATGGAATGTTTTTAGCAGTTTAGTTTTATTGGAGTGCTGTGTCTACCTAGTGGTTTCTTAACGTAATATAAGGCCCACAGAATTTTTTTCTTGTAATGCTTTTATAGCCAATCTGAAGTGCACTGACATGTCTACTATGAGGCCCAGATATGTGTAACTTAAGGAGTGTTCAATTTTCACATCTCTGTTATAAAATTTCATTCTGTTTTGTTTACAGCTTTTTCTGTTTTTTCCAGGTTAATCCTGGAGGACCCATGTATTGCAGTAGGTTTCTAGCTGATGTAGGTTTCTTTGTAGACTCGTAGACTGTAGATCTTGTGTAGGAGACAGTATTTCAGGGCATCAGCCTACAGTAAACTTTTTATCTCTGAGTTGTTTAGTTGGAGTCCAAGGTTTGGGGAGTTTTGCAAAGAGGTGAGTAGATCTTATGTTGGAAAGTGTTGCACTGAGATTACATCCCTGTTTTACTTCTCCTTGCTTATGGTTTCTGCTTCCATGATGGTTATTTTTTATCCTATATATGATGGATTCATACATGGATTGAATTAAGTCATATATTTTTCCATGATTTCTATTTTATACCAATTTACAGTTCAATCTTAGGTGCCAAAATGAGTCAAAAGCTCTGCACTGTCAACTTCAAGCATTTAAAAAATCACGAGTCAGGCTCAGGCCCCAAAAATCATGTGATTTTAATAACATAATATATTTTGGTTTCCTTTTATTGCCTTCTGGTTTCTGAGCCTTTAGGGTACAGTTAGGTCACATTTTCAAGCTTTACTTTGCAACCATAAGGTCTACAAACCTTTCCCCCTGCCCCCACATGAAATCTGAGATTTTCACATAATAACCTGTCTACAGAAGCTGGGGCTTTAAGAAAAACAGCATATATCATGAGACTCACAATAAGATCACGAGAGTTGGCAACAATCTACTTTAAAGCTATATTAAAGTCCGTAAAGAAAGCAGATATCTTTCTGCTATTTTTTTCTGGGTGTCTTTGGAATAAATATATTGTGGGTTGGGTTTGTTTTTTTCTTCACAGAGGAAACCAATTTGATGTTCATAGATTGTGGTGTTATTGGTCTGATATTTTATTATCATTTGGGGTCTCAGTCCTGCACTATTGAAGACAATGGTAGGTTTCCCGCTGTCTTCAACAGCATAGAATCAGGCCCTTATTGAGGATGCTATAGAACAGTTTGCTGATCCTGCACCTAAAAGAGAAACCTCTGTAGCTGTTGGGGTTAAGGACATCTGTGCACACCCCCGCCCATCTCCTGGTCTGCTCCAGACAGCTGTATGGGAAAAGGGAGTCAACTATGTGCTCACCTCCACTCAAGCAGAGCCAATCAAATTCCTACCTGCTCTCCCCTGGGCTCCCATAGCCCAGCAGGGAAGCAAGCAATAGAGCAGCCTGAGCAGTTCTTTCCTTCCTCCCCTGTGCAATGCAGCAGGCAGCCAGCAGGGGAGCAACTGAACAGGTGAAGCAGAGAAGAGGAAGCAGCTGTTCAGAGCAGTGGCACTGGAATACTTTTAATAGTGGGGGAGCTGAAAGCCAGCCCCCTTACCCCGGTCCCATCACCCCCAAGCTGGGGCCAGGAGCAGGCAATGTCTCCAGGAGGGGGACCCGGAGTGGGGTAAAGGGGCCAAGGCTAGGACCACAGCTGGGGGGCGGGGGTGGGGCCGCTAGCTGGGACCCCAGGCATGGGGCCGCTAGCTGGGACCCCAGGCAAGGGGCTGGCAGTGGAGCCCATGTGCGGAGCCGAGAGCAGAGCCCACGTGTGATGCTGGCAGCCAGGAGCCCACATGCAGGGTCAGGAGCAGCAGAGCCCGGGCACGGGGCCGGCAGCCGGGATCCCTCCTGCAGGGCCGGGAGCGGAGCCCCATGTGAAACCTGCAGCACCCCCCACACTCCTAGTTCCCACACCTATGATTCAGAGTGCTCTTTGCTTGTCCTAGGGCTGCAAGTGGGAGGCAGTTGGGCAGACAATCCCCTTTCTCCTCCCCATGGTGACAGAACTGGTTCAAACTCATCAGGTTAAAAATTTCAGAGCTCAGGGCTCATATTTTCAAATTGTAACCAAATACAAGTTTTCTTTTTAATGCTGTTGCCCTTGAGAGCCACAACTTAGTGCCTTGAAAGCCACTGATTGGACACCAGGACTTTACAGCATTTACTTGCTGTTTCTTATAGCCACTGTGACAGTGGGCAGGGCTATCTTTGCCTAGCCAGGTCTCCTGTGGTATGGTCATGTCATGGCATTCTGAATAAATCAGAGATTTAGGGCTTGTGTCCAAAGATCAAGGGCAGTCTTGTATCTTTCAGCTACTTATAGCACATGAGGTCATTTTCATAATTTTGTGAATAGTAATTTATGCCTAGAGTTGTGAAGAGCATCCAGAATATGGAAGTGAGAGTTTACTACATCATATGTGTGTGTGTATTACTATATAATATATAATATATAATATATAATGTATATAATATTTCTATAATATTGTTATCTGTCTTCTTACTGTATTCAGGTTTGGTTATGCATGTTTCTACTACTATGGGCCCATTGCTAGTGATGGGGCTAGGGCTGTATCTTGAATTGATGCTCTGGAGTTTTTCTGTGTAGGTGGTGATGCGGGGGAAGTCTCTGAAATGTTCTGTTGTCCAGTTCTGAGCCGAGTGGGCTTATTGGCTCTAGGGTCAGGGCTACATCTTTAATTAGACTAGCAATTATTCCTATTCCTATCCCTGCTTTGCTCAAGAGTACCTTGACACATAGGTGATTTTTTTGTTGTCTGTATCACTGTGCGTCAGTGTCAGCATATGCGTGTGAGTGTTAATGTATGTGTGCCAGTTTTGCTGTACAGTAGTGTGTGTATCTGTCACTGCATGTGTCAAGAATGGGGAGAGTTATGTGTGCAGCAGTGTGAGTGTGACTGTCACTGCCTGTCAATATGGGCGGTCTCATTGTCACCATGCATGTCAGTATTGGTGTATGTTTGTGGGTGCAGCAGTGTGTGTGTGTATGTGTATGTCAATGTCACTCCATGTCAGTATTGCTGTGTGTGTCAGTGTCACTCCATGTCAGTACTGCTGTGTATCTGTGTCAGTATTGGGGTTGTCAGTGTCAGTAGTTGTAAGTGGTGTGTGTGTGTGTGTGTGTGTGTGTGTGTGTGTGTGTGTGTGTAGTA